AGCCCAGGCAATTCTCGCGTCTCCAACTCCCAAAGTGCTGGGATTACAGGCATGAGCCTCTGTGCCCGGCCTAGTAATGTGATTTCTAAAAAAAAAAAGTAAAAAATAAAAAAAGTACCCGATCATGAAAAGTTAAATGAAAACTTGCAGGCTGTAAAATTCTGCTGTGCTACCTACCTCTCTGGCTCTCTGGAGCTGTGCTTGCTCGATCTTAGCGATGACTTCCTTTACTGTCTTTGGGATCTCAAGTTTAGGAACCACTGGAGAATCAAAGACCTTTCTGGGCTGTCTTCTTATGATGACAGAATCATCAAATTCTTTTTCTGAGTCAGATTCATTTTCGACCTCATTTTCCATTTTGATAAACATTTTGAAAATCGGGGTGATTTTCTTTTAGTTCTTCTTTTTCAAATAATATAGGAAAATGCTAGTAAAGGTGTTCACTAGGAAGCTGAAAGTTCTTTCCTGTTTCCAGAGGTTGTGGCTTATCCTGCTACGGAATGGTTTCTAACCACGGTATTCTGGCCCTTTTGATGTAATAATAGACCCATTGTGATGTTCTCATTGACTCAAACATTTAAAGAGTACTTACTACCTGCAGAGAACTGGACATTCTATATGCTGTGATGGTAGAAGGGTGAGGCGGGGAGGGAGGGTAAGAACACTAAAAGAAATAGAAGATATAGCTCTTCTTAAACAAGCTTAAAATCTACATGTTAGAACCCAAGATCCAGTGTATCAAATGTAACTCCTGGTTCTTCTCTCTCCCTGGGGATTTTCTTAAGTATGTTTAAACCTGTTATGTAATGAGTGTCACAACTTCTTCAGCTGTTCCTTAACTTTTCCTAGACATGTAGTAACTTGGAAGGTATCATTTGGATGAAGATCACACTTTGCACTGCCTAACTACCCATTTTTTTTCAAGAAGCTTGACTCAAAAAGGCTTCGAAGTTCCAGAGTTGGCTAAAGAAATTGAAGGGGATGCTAGAAGCTGCTTTCCAACTGGAAAGAGGATGCCTTGGGCAGCTCTTTATTGCAGAGGAGGCGAAGGACTCAGAAGACTGGAGACAGGGTGGTTTTGTTTGCTGGGTAGCTTGCTTTATTTATTTATTTATTTATTTATTTTTGAGTAGGAGTTTTACTCTGTCACCCAGGCTGGAGTGCAGTGGCACGCTCACAGCTACTGCAGCCGCGACCTGCTGGGCTCAGGTGATGCTTCTACCTTGGCTTTCCAAGTAGCTGGAACCACAGGTGTGCGCCTCCACGCCCCTCTAAGTTTTTGATTTTTTTGTAGAGGCAAGGTCTTGCCAAGTTGCCCAGAGTAGTCTCAAACTCCTGGACTCAGGCAATCCTCTTACCTCCACCTCCCAAAGTGCTGAGATTACAGGCATGAGACACTGAAACCAGTCACTTTATTTATTTATTTTGAGTTGGAGTCTCACTCTGTCACCCAGACTGGAGTGCAGTGGCCACGCCCGGCCACCGCAGCCTCGACCTGCTGGGCTCCGGTGATCCTTCCGCCTCAGCCTTCCGAGTAGCTGGAACTACAGGTGCGCGCTACCACGCCTGGCTGATTTTTTTGATTTATTGTAGAGATGAGGTCTTGTCAAGTTGCCCAGGCGGGTCTCGAACCCGCAGGCTCAGGCAATCCACTCATCTCGGCCTCCCGAAGTGCTGGGATTACAGGCTGAGCCACCGAGCCCAGCCACTTTATTTTTTAAGTTAAAAAAAATGAAAGTACAGAAAATAATGAGTATTATGCACTCATCACCTGGAATGAACAAATATTAACATTTTGTCATATTTGCTTCCAATATTTTTATTTATTTTGAGTCAGAGTCTCACTCTGTCACCCAGGCTCAAGTCCAGTGGCACACTCATGGCCACTGAAGCCTCAACTTGCTGGGCTCAGGCTATCCTTCTGCCTCAGTCCGCCAGGTTGCTGGAACCACAGGTGCATGTCACCATCTCGGATACTTTTTTTTATTTCTAGTAGAGATGAGGTCCTGCCAAGTTGCCCAGGCTGGTCTCGAACCCCTGGGCTCAGGCAATCCTCTCATGTCCACCTCCCAAAGTGCTGGAATTACAGCCATGAACCACTGCACCTGGCCTGCTTCCAATATTTTTAAATAAAAGGAAGCATTAGAGAGAGTTGAAGTCCCCTTTGTGGTCTTCCCCAGAGTCCATCCTTCTACTCTGTCCCATTCCAGAGGCAATGACAATCATGATTTTTTTTTTTTTTTTTTTTTTTTTTTTTTTGAATTGGAGTCTCACTCTGTCACCCAAACTGGAGTGCAGTGGCCGCTTCCGGCCACCGCAACCTCGACCTGCTGGGCTCTGGCGATCCTTCCGCCTCAGCCTTCCAAGTAGCCGGAATTACAGGCGCGTGCTACCACGCCCAGCTGATTTTTTGATTTATTGTAAAAGATGAAGTCTTGCTGCCCAGGCGGGTCTCGAACCCGCAGGCTCAGGCAATCCACTCACCTCAGCCTCCCAAAGGCGCGGGATTACAGGCTGAGCCACCGAGCCCGGCATGACAATCATGATTTTAATGTACTTGTGTCTAGTCTATTTTTATATAGTTTTAATATAGGTGTATGTACTCATAAGCTATATAGTATCATTTCATAGGTTTTAAGTTTTATGCAAACTATGGATATATAATTTCATTTCTCTGCAAGTACTTCCTTTTGAGTCCTTGTTATAAACATTGTAAAATTAGTCCTGTGTTGAGTTCTTGTAAACTTATAAAATTAAACAATTTATGTGTTCAGTCCTTCAGAGAGAGCAGAGCGTCATAAAATAGTTGTTTTTTAAGTATGTCAGTCAATAGATAGAGAGCAAATTAAATATTTTCCTCTCTCTTTAAGATCTCATTTCCTAAGTTACTCCCTCCTCTGTTCCCAAATCACTTTGTGAACTTTCTGTTATAGGGCTTATCTTGCTGAAGTGTAACTATTTATTATTTGTCTCTATCCAGCAGTTGGCAAACATCTCAAGACCAGATGCTGCACTTTTTCTCCCATTTGGCATGTTCATTCACAGAAACTGTCTAAAATTTTGAGAACCATTATAGTTTCAGATTCCTTTCTTTATGGACACTTTTCTAAGCCCCAGAATACTTTCTGTGATTGTTAGACCAAACTCTTCCCCTACACCCTACAGTCATAAAACATTACTCTCTCCTTTCCTATAAATCATGACTAAGTCTGTTTACTCAAAGAAGTTCACAATGTCATCTGAAAGGATCACAGTTAAGGAGAATTATTTTTTATAAATGTAGGTCTGATTAAAATATACATTGTTCTGAATTTCTTGACATTATCAATTCACCTAGTTAAGTACCTTGTTGATAATATTATTAGATTGTGATATCCTTGAATAACTTTTCTCTTGCATTGCTTACCTCAAGCATTCACAAAGCAGCCTAAATACTTGTCAAATAACTAATTTAGCATTATTGCTCTCTCTCTCTCTCTCCATCTCTTACTTGTATTTTTTTCATTTAGCATGGAATTCATCAATCAGCAACTGGAAATGAAGACTTTTTAAAGCAAACTTTTAAATCCTTCTCCTTCCCTTTCAATTAGACAAGCATTTGTTGAAACTCTACTATGCAGCTACCATTATCCTAAACTGAAGAATATATGATAGAGTTCCTGTGAAGAAAATAATTAAAAATAAAAAATAGTAATCAAGTGCTCACAAGGGACATGAAGAGGAGGTCTGTGGGGAGCCGAGCCTCTTGGGAAACTTTATGGAAAAAGAAAGTTGTTTGACAAATGAAGGCAATCCATATAGGCAAGACGCCTTGAGCCATGGCTTTAAAGGTGAGTGCTAATGAGTTTGTATCTTAGGGGGAAAGTGAGGAGATTGGTTTAATTCTAATGACCTGACAGGAGTTTACAGAAGATCAGATTAGGTTGGGTCTGGGATACAAATTTCAGTGATTTGATGATGTAGTGAATTTGGTATCTGAGTGAGGAGATTCTTTTGAGGTTAAAGCAAGGAAGATTACATGGGATCAGAGTAGGAAAGTCTTGAAAACAAGTAACAGTGGTTTGGTGAAAATGAAACTTTCACTTCAGAAAAAACTTTAAAATAAGAGGATCGCGAAAATCCCCTGGAAAAGATCAAGACATGATTATTTCAAAACATAAGTGTCTGAACTAGGATGTAAAATTGGGATTGGTACGAGAGAGAGAAATCCTACCAGGTATTGATGAAAATAGTAAGAAATTTGGATCCTCTAACAAAGAATGATAAAGATAATTTTTTGAAATTGTTTTAACTGTATTTCCTTTGAAATAATTGCAGAACATCAATGAAGAGGCTATCCAGACGAGGTATTATTAAGTAGCATTATGTTAAAATGAGGGTGCCTGATTCAAGCGAGCTCTTTAAAGGTGTGTCTAGGGGAAAACTCCCTTCCTAGAGGGCCCCCTCAACTGTAAAATGGAGATAACAGTATTTCTTGCATAGGCTTGTTTTAAGATTAATTCACGCAAAATGCTCAGTATAGTGCCAAGCACAGAGTAAGCATTTAATATACAGTAGCTGCTACTAATATACTTACTACTACAACAGCTTTTTTTCTTTTCTCCTTTTTTTCTGCGAGCCACCACGATTTCGGCAGGTTGTGCGTTTGTTCAGTCACACTTCTTACAAGATCAGCTTTTGATCAGATCTATATTTTGAACCAAGAAAACTACGCAATGATTAGGGCCTAGGTAGCTATCTGTGGCAAGTCATAAAATGCGTCAATGAGCTTTGCACGCACCCCCGTGGCACAGAATGGTCTCTCCTTCTGCTCGTCACTCCCCCCTCCCCCCCGCACCCGCCAGATGATAGTACATTCCATACCCCCGCTGGAAAAGGTAGCGCAAAAGTTGAGCGCGCCGAGGGCCGTCGCTCCTTCCGGAAGTAATTCTTCTCTAGAACCGGAAACAGTTGTTGTTTCAAGGGAGGTGGGACTGGGCGGGTCGGGCCGCAGCGGCTGACGGCGGGGGAGGAGCCGGGTCCACTGCCGGGTGGAGGGGCAAGGCGAGCGAGTGTCCTTATCCTGGCAACTGGGGCTCGGGCCTGTGAGCCAGTTGGAGTCGCGGCGGCGGGGACGATTGGGCCGAGCGGAGGAAGACATGTTGCTTTTCGTGGAGGTGAGTGGACTCGGGGGTCTCGTCTTGCTCCGAGGAGAGCGGGAGTGTGGAGGCGCCGGCCGGTCCCCCCGCCATGTGACTTTCCAGGCCGTACACGCCGCGGAGCCGGCCGACAGGCTGACACAGCACCTGGGCCGTGCAGGCCTGCGGCTCCGCTCCGCGCGCCCACAACAGTTTAGGAAGCGGCTGGAGGTGAGGCCGGGAGTGGGGAGGATCGGAGGCGGAGGGTCGCGGGCTTGTCCGGTGTGGCGCGGGGACCGGAGGAAGGAGAAGGTGTCCCATATGGACCTCCCGAGGGAGGCCAACAGGCGCGGGGGGGGGGCGGCGGGGGGGCGGAGTCGGCCGGGGAAGAGGGTGATCAGGTGGGCGCGTTCCGGGGGTGCGGCGAGGCCTCGCGGGGCCCTCTGGGAGGGAGGCACGCAACATGTGGGGCCGCGGAGGGAGGAAGGTGAGGCGCGGGGAGTGTTTTGGAAAGAAAACGGAAAACTTCTTCTTAGCAACCTGCACCCAGTTGAGTTCAGTTCCCGTCCTTGGATCTCTGGAACGTTCTGCGGCTAAAAGCGAGTTACTTTGAACCGAGAAGCCAGTAGGGCTTGGAAGCCTTGAAAGGCACCGCTTTGACCTTTTGTAAAAGTTACTCCGGCAGCGGCTGCGTGTTGGGGGTTGGTTCTGTGAACCGATTAAAAGTCCTTTGCGAGGAGAATTCCAAGAACGAGAGTAACTTATTCGGGGAAAAGCTGTGTTTTGTTTTTTATTTTTTGTATTGTTTCTTGAACAATAAGAATACTTTTGTTACTTTAACCTGAACGTCGGCTGTTGGCCAGTTTTAGTTTTCAAGGTAGTGGATACCTGCCTTACACAAATCCGAAGTTTTATTTCTCATATTTCTGTCCTCTTGTGTGCAGTGAGCATCAGCTGACTGTCTGGCTAATGCTTTGAGTAGATTCCAGATCATATTGTTCTTACATTGTGAAAACGTCAAACCAGCAAAGCTGCAACTTCGCAACTTGGCATTTGTTAACTATGTCCATTAAAAGCATCTTTTCGATGAGAGAAGGAATTTACAGGTTGTATAATGGATCCGGGAGTCGGGGCCAGCCTATGGCTTCCCCCCCCGGGGGGGGGGGGGTAGAGGAAAAATCTTGCTCCGTAATATTCCAGCATAAATATATGATTTTACTTTTTTCTTTTAAACTAACTGATATTGTGTAATTGATAAGTTTGAGATCTTTAAATTAGTTTTTAAAAAGAGTGCTATCTTAGGGTATATCCAACATTAATAATAAGCGTTCATTGGAACATTACAGGCAAATCATGAAAATATTTAAAATTACTATCATTCTACCTTTTTTTTTTTTTGAGTTGGAGTCTCACTCTGTCTCCCAGACTGGAGTGCAGTGGCTGCTCCCGGCCACCTCAGCCTCGACCTGCTGGGCTCCCGCGATCCTTCCGCCTCAGCCTTCCGAGTAGCCGGAATTACAGGTGCGCGCTACCACGCCCGGCTAATTTTTTTATTTTATTGTAGAGATGAGGTCTCGCCTAGCTCAGGCAGGTCTCGCACCCGCGGGCTCAGGCAATCCACTCACCTCAGCTTCCCAAAGGCGCAGGATTACAGGCTGAGCCACCGAGCCCGGCTCTATTCTACCATTTTTGATCCTTATTTTCCTGTGGCAGAATAAGAAATCAGATAAGATTTTAAGCAGTGTCAGTTCATTGTAGGAATGTCGTGCCATGCAAATACCGCAGGTTTTAAGTGTGTATATGTTTTACTGGGCAAAAGAAAGATTGTGAAGTTTGATTTATATCAACATGAATTCCAAAATAAACTTTTGAATTCCAAATTGATTTCTTTGGCTTTATTGAAATATGAACTTTAATAATCGCTCTATTTATTGTTTAAGCTATATCCTCTCCTGTCTCTGAAGCAACATTGTAATTTTTTCCAAATGAGAAAACAGAGGCCTAGAAGTTAAGTGACTTAGTAAAAGTAAAGTAGTGGAATTACGATGTATATTCCGGTTCTGATGTCAAATCATATGGACAGGCTTTTAGCAGTTCAGGCCTAACTGACCTCTCAGTTTAGACAAACTCTACCATATCTTTCACTAAACTATTTAAAGCTAATATCACCAATAAGCATTTTCTTTGCGAACCAGTATGTTCTTTATTTTATCATATAATGAGGTTTATTGAAAATTAGTAATGTCATTCAATATTTGGGGCTACATATGTGGTATTAAAAACAGTAAAAAAAAGAGCACATTGACTATTTGTCATTTTGTTAACTAATATTTGATCCTTCTAACCTCATGATATAGGAATTGTTTTCAGTGAGAGAACCAAAGCTCAGAAGTTAGATGTCTAAGGTCATTCAAGTGTAAATAATATGGGGACTAAAGTCTGAAGTCTGGCTTCTAGAACACAGGTCTCTGGCTCCAGAACTTATTTTTGCACTTTCTCATAAGCCAAGAGTTCTTAATCTGGGTTTTTGGATAGAACTGAAGAAGTACATGAGCTAAGTTGAGGGAAAATTTGCGTGTTTATTTTCACTAGCTTCTAACTGAAATCTAGATGGAAAAGAATTGAAAATTTTAAAAATTTCAGTGGAGGCAACAGTGTCTGTGACCTTGTCACCAGGAGAAATCATATTTTTTCATATCGTATTACAGTTTTTGCAATTATCTTGAAAGGTTTATACTCATTACTGCTTGCTTTTTATTATCTTTTTGTAGAGATGAGGTTACCCTGGCTGGTCTTAAACTTCTGGGCTCAAGTGGATCCTCCTACCTCAGCCTCCCAACGTGCTGGGATTATGGGAAGGAGCCATTGTACTTGGCCACTGCTTATTATTATATGTTAAAAAAATCTTTTTTTTTTTTTTGAGTTGGAGTCTCACTCTGTCACCCAGACTGGAGTGCTGTGGCCGCTCCCAGCCACCGCAGCCTCGACCTGCTGGGCTCCGGCGATCCTTCCG